CCCCCCCCCCCCTTATCTAATGACATAAATCGATTGATTAGTCTCTGGGAAGTTCAGAAAAAGTATTTTTAGAGGTCCCAGAGTGATCTTTTACGAGATAACCTTATTTTAAAAAAATTGAAAATCTATGAAACTAGAGTCTGGTCAACGTATGGGAAAATACCTAGACAATATTAGAAGAAGGAAAATATCGAATTGAATGAAAGGAAAATAAAAAGACATGTAAGCCGTACGGGGTGTGGGTGTGGGTGTGGGTGGGTGTGGGTGGGTGTGGGTGGAGTGTGTGGGTGCCTGTTTGGACCTTCACTTCACCTACCCACACCCCACACCCACCCACACCCTCAAGATCACTCTGGAACTTCTAAAAATACTTTTTCTGGACTTCCCAGAGGCTAATCGGTTGGTTTATGTCATTAGATAAGGGGGGGGGGGGTCGATAGGTGTATTTGTCCCGACAACGTATTACTAAAGAATGTGAAGAAGTTGTTATTGATTCAATATTACTTGATGCACCATCAATAACACCAATTATTAATTCTTCACGTACTATCCAACAATGGATAGATGTTAATACTTCAAAATCTGCTTATATTATATACAAATATAAAAGTGATTTATGTAAAAGTCAGATTGAACAACAAAATAAAAAAAAAAAAGATATTAGTCAATCAAAATCATCAATTACTATTGAACCAATTGATTCTATGTCAAATTTAAGACAAATAAATGAACAACAAAAACTTCAAATTGATGAATTATTATTATCGATTAAACAGATTAATGAGAGAATTGAAAAACAAGATGCAAAAATTGAAAAACGAGATGTTAAAATTGCACAACAAGATTCTCAAATAAAAGTATTAAAATCAAATATTCATTCACTATTTATTGCAATTAAATCATTAACTACTTTAAATAAAAGAATATTAATAGAAAAATTTCGATTGTATTTAGTAAACAAATATTCTGATTTATTTCAAAATCAAACTGGTGTTCTAGTTACAAATGAAACAAAATACCGTGATATTTATCAATTCATGTCCAACTTTTTGAATGATTTATACCAAGGACAAGGTGCATCATTAATTACAAGTGAAGAAGAAAGAGAATGCATGCAACATGTACTTGGTAACAAAGGTTCATATTATCAAATAATCAGCGATACATTCGTGCATGAAGCTACTAAAGAAAGTATCGCTGAATCTGTTCTATGTACTGATACCACCAACAAACACATATGGATAAACATGTACAAATTTGTATTTGGTGAAGAACCTAATTTAACTGATATTTGTACTTGATCCAATACCAGAAGATAATATTACCTAAGTAGCTTTCTCAAACCAGATACTTTAAAAACATTAGTTACTTTTATTTAAGCTATTTTTTTTTCTATTTGATGTTTATTTTTTTTTGATCAAACTTGATGTGTTTGTTTTTCTTTTTTTGTGATTTAAAAACAAGCACTATTTAAACATTGTTGATGTTACTTAATAATTGTCTTTAGCTATTGAAACATTATCCCGTCGAAGATGGGAGGATCATATCATATATAGTCAACAATTTTGATCGACTCGTAGCTGACTTGAGAACGTCTCTTATGATACTGTTATGATATATATGCAGTGCTGGTCATGAATCTGTTGTAGCCAATGTAGTGCTACACACAGATCTATAGTGCACTCTTATTCATATTCTTTCTAACAGATGTGTTATTTCAAAGTTTCAAAAACTTGAGTTTTTCAAAAATAATCCTGCTCTTAAAGAGTTAAATTCGTTTCAATGCTTTCAATAAAATCAATGTTTTATAATGATACAATGAGTCAAGATATTTTTTATTGATTAAAAATTTTCTTTTTTTTAAATAATCACATAATTAAAAACAAGAACAATACGAATGTATAACGGAAGTTTATGAGATTAAAAATCGAATACACATTCAAATAAATAAAATGTCGATTATTTAAGCTAAACCTAGATCTTTCAAAACACTTCGTTTTTCTTCCAATTCTTCCTTCGTGAAACATTTGCTGAAACCATGCATGCAACACTTATTATTTTCATTGATCGAGAAGAACAAAATAGTAATTATACTGATATAACAACAGGAGAATATTTAATGAATAGTAATATAAGTCATGCTCTTAATGCTGAATGCAATACATTTCTTGATGCACATAATGTTTGTTGAAGTTTTTCGATGGAGTTATTAAATATGTTAGATTTATTTTTTTTTCTTTGTTTATTTAGATGGCTTATAGAAAAGCAATGAAATATTTAAAAGTTGATACAACAAATGAACAAAGAGAAGATCAAGTTCATGGAGGAGTTCTATTGCTTAATAAACTATTACGAGTATCGGATATAAAATTTGAAGTAAGACAGCTTCTTTTTCAAAGAGAAATTACAGATACGATATTTGTTAGGTTTTTTTAAGAATATTTGTCAAGATTTAATTCATCCATATTGTGCACCGAAACCCAAACCAGTTTCATATAAAGTAAGAATAAGAAATTTCATTATTTCTTTTTTATTCTATACATTACCTCTTATATGCTTATTGATAAAAAAGACTTACGACTTTGATTGATAAAATGAATAATTGGTAACGATGACTCTGAGTATGAACGAATATCGATAAAAAAAATAATTATAAATCTTCAGACGAATTTATAGTTAATCCTAATGAATACAAAAATTACTTTTCACTATAAAATGCATCTTTCTCTTCCCTTTTTATACTACTATTATTTATAAGCCTATAGCATATTTTAGCAAGAATTCGATCATAGTGATGAACGAATAAAAGATTGTTTAAGAAGAAGCAATAAGAAACAAAACAATGCTACACTATAAATGCACTTAGAGATGGAACTAGTCTGACTAAATCAGACTAGATCGGATTAGTTAATTTGAAGTCTCAATAGGAGGGAGGTGCAGGTTCACGTCTTCTATTTTTTGTGATTCATTTTCCCATCTAGAGAGATACGGATCTACAGAAATGTGAACCCGAGTCCAACAAAAAATAAAACTTTCGGTGTGAATCTGCGTCCGGATCTGGAATGATTTGTAGCTCCCTACCCGACAGTTACGACGAGTCGGTAGGAAGCTGAGGATCTTTCCAGATTGTGCGTCATCAGAGTCCAATATTTTATTTTTTACCGATACAGGTTCATATTTTTGTGGGTCACAGTTTCCTAGGTACGAGAGAACAACAAGAAAAAACTTTACGTTAATTGTTTTTCTAAAAGTAATCAATAAATAGCTAAAACCCTGATCCTTCTCTTGTTCATGTGTACAGAGAGTGTCAGGTATTGATAGAAAAAACTTCGAGTCGGAATCCAGAAGTTTAGTTTTGTTTCGAGTTTTCATTCATAAAAATCTAGACCCACAGCTCCCTACCGATCGATCTAAAATCCGCGTGGTAACTGGTACCAGTTCGATCTTTGCAACATCTATTGCAGACATATAGTCTTCAAGAAGGGTGTGGGTGTGGGTGTGGATGTGCGGTGAGGATGGGTCTGCGTGCGTGTATAGGTACTCTCTTCATCCGCACCCACCCACACCCACACCCACACCCTGCGACTCGTATTTTTAATTCTTACTGTTGTAACTATTTGTGTAACAATAGTTGCAACATATTTTTTGCTTAATTCGGAAGATTATCGATGGCAGTGAATGAGTTTTCTGGCTAGAATTTCTTCATCAATTTATTAATTAATTTCAATATTGACTATCCAAAATTAAGACGTTAGCCATTTGGTAATATTGATGAAAATACCATATAAACATGTCCGAATTATAATCGTCTGTCATTAAAAGAAATGGCACAAACAATAAAGACATTTTGGACACAAGATGAAGTACTTGAATTTAGTAATATGTCAGGGTGTTAACGTCATTTGTATTGTTGTATTTGTTGTACTATTCTTGAAGCATTTGAATTTATTAACATGTTAGAGTGTTAACGTTATTTGTATTGTTGTTTAGTTGTACTATTTTTGAAATTTCGAGATTTATTTCTATATGTGCTCTCTATGTCGTTGCATAGTGCTTATAAAATTATTATATCGTTTGTGAGTTAAATTTAGTTTACATTTATAATTATGTTCTTAATTTAGAGAAGCTTTGTTTTTCATACAACAATTTGCTTCATTTAGAGGAGTTTTGTTTCAATATTCGCTTTTTTTGTAATGCAGAGCCCTGATGAGTTTTTTATAATTTCAATAAAATAAACATGAAACGCGTCGGCAAAATTAAACTCTGCATTTCTATTTACAATTTGATTAAGCACAAATTTTAACTTTGAAAATAATTACGACTTCATCAGTTGCTGAAAAGCAAGAGTTGAGACTAGCAGATTGATTTGCATCAGAAAAATATAGATCGATCTGTTTTCTATTTGATTTACACATCCACACCCCGCACCTCAAATTACTAAGGCTATAATATGTTAAACAGCTTGATACACTTAAATAACGGCAAATATATCTTTTTTGTGCTATTCAATGAATGAAAACAGCTTTCATCACTAAAAGTTGTTCTTTAATTCTCGGCTGATATATAATTGATCAAACCAAAATTATTAAGAATACGACTAATTGTACTTCGACTAATAGCCACATCAAAATTCACTTGAACATATCGAACAAAATGGTTTGATGACATTGTATCATCGTGTAACTGCTCTAATTGAATCGTTCGCTTTTCTCTTTAGCTAAGCTTCGAAGAACGACCATTGCCAGACTTGGTCGTAACAATATATTGTTTATTATATTTGCGAATCGTTTATCCAATACAATTGCGAGAAACTCCACAATGTTTAGGAATCATGTATTACGAAAATCTCACTACATATAAAGTGATGATGTTCTTTTTTTTTGTATAGATACTAACCGCTATTCTCTCCACCACGTCCGAAAGTAAACTAGGTCTGCATTCGTAGAAGATGAATCGATGTATCCTTTCGTTTTCCCTTGGTTGACATCTATTGGAATATTGAATACAAAACGCCACTTCCCTGTTTCAGGAAAAGATAGTGGTGCGAAAAATAGTATGTTCTTGTACTAGGTCCTATGATTTTGTAACAGCACTTTTCAGACTTTTATACGTATTATATTACTATCTATAGAACGATATGCAGAGACAGCACAATGTAGCAAAACATAGTACACTATCCTATTTATATAAACTAGAAACTACCAGTGGAGTAAGATAAGTTACTGATAATGAAATATTTTAATACAATTTTATAGGCAGTTCTATAATTTCCGGATACTCTAGACATCAATGATCATCGTAAAGAGGTAGAATAAAATAGAAATATGAAAATATGAAAATAAATAAGGATAAATGATTAAATCAACAGTTTCTCATGATAATTCCCCCTTATTTTCGTGATTTCTTGGTACTTGAAGAAATAGTCTTTTCTCCACTAGATGAAGGTGTCTTGCAACTTGGTTTCGCTTTCAAATTTTCAGTTATTGAAGTCGATGATGACGAAATGGTAGCACTTGGTGACATGTGGCTATTCTCTCTTGTTTGACCGTCAACGTCATCCACCTCCATTTCATGTTTCGATTCGTTCGGCATCGTTGAACACTTACCACTTTCAGACAACTAAAATAAATGTAGATCAGACTTTTAAAAAGATTGATGTCTTCTTGTTTGTTTTAGATGTTTTTTCTATTGGACAGTTCTTTTCACATCGTATGCAAAGGGAGATATTGAGGTAGACGAAACAAATGTAACATATAACGGGTGTTCCAAAAAGAACGGCCACTCATTGTATCACCATTTCCCTGATCATCTTTTGCTTTGGCGACCTCTCTTTTTTGCTTTTTTCATTCGTTTTCTGTCTCTCTATAAAATGACGGGTTTACTTTTCAAAAGAAATTACAGAATAAAATTTTTCAAGATGAAAAGTGAAGATCTCTAGGAACTAGTACTTTCCAAATATCAAAAAGGTGAACCTCCAGTCAAACTCTTTAAAGACTTGAACGGTGCTGTAAGTTCTCGAACTATTCGGCAGTGGTGTGTAATGGCGAGATGGGCAGGTTCTATCAACTTATTGCACTCACCGAGTCATCCATGCATTATCGGATCCAAAGGAATGATCCAAAAGGTGAAAAATCGAATGTAACGTAAAAAAGTGTCAATTAGAAAACTTGCCAGTGAGCTGAATATCTCCAAAGAATCTGTTGTCAGAAACCTGAAACAAGATCTAGGATATCGTTCATACAAAAAAAAGCGTTGAACCAGCTCTCACAGATCACGAAAAGAGTAAAAGAATTACATTTGC